CATCACAGGAGTCACGTGATCAACAACCGGCTGTTTCTACTGGTGAAAAAGATGAAGAAGAAGAAGATAACAGGAAGCAGTTGTAATAGTAAACTCACCGACTACAATTTCCTAAAAACACAGCATTTGTAGCCGCTCCCAAGTATAAGGGGCTTGTCGCTCGAAAACCTCGATAAGCAGCCAACATCTCCTCTGATGATGAGCGCTAGTGTCGTGGTAGCAACATGCTATGTGTTTACATCCATCGCTGCCATGTTTGTAATGACTTATCATGAGAACAAACGTATTCACGTGACTTTAATAACATTTCTTACTTAATGGAAACACTGCAGTTGTGAAACTGTGTTTTTCAACATTAACAGAATATCAACAAAGTTTTGAGCACATTTGCGATGGAAACACAGCTAGTGTCATGTTTACCTGCAGTGCTGGGCTGGGTGGTGGCTGAGTGGGCCTGTCGTGTGCAGGTCATTGTGGAATGTTTGCAGGGCGTCTCGGTGGCTCTGTTTCATCTGAACCAGCAGTCAGAGGCAAACAGAGAACAGAGGAGGTCTTTGTTGAGACCCTCTGGTGCCCACTGTTCCTTCACACTTCACAGCTTGAAATGTGTCACTGTTGTYAGCATGTCAAAGCAGCTGCTGCCATCAGAGCCCAGGAATGTCTCGGGCTTTTCATGTGGGATCCTGTCTGAACCTGGACCCTGCTCTTTCATGTCCCCCTCACATTTTGAAAGGGTTTCACTCGCCGCCTGTTTTTACACCATCGTTCCAGTCGAGCTGGAAGCAAAGACGTCTGCCAGMAAACAAACTGTTTTTACACACTGAGGAGTGTGTGTACTCAGAGATAGCATCAATATGTTTACTCTAGGGCTGTGGAATTAATCGAGTTAACTCTGATTAATTTTACTGCTGCATGGGCATAGATTTAAAAGTTTTAATTGCGATTAAAATTTACAACTTTGGCTGAATATGTAGGTTTGTATATTACAATGCACTCAGTGCATCATGTCAGGTCATGTTTGTAAATAAGAAGTGGTTCTCAAACAGTTTACCTGCATAAATAAAGGTTAAATAAATAAAATAAATAAAAAACTCCATGTGTAACACATTATGTACAGTTTTTTTTCTTTTCATCTTCTTGTGGCTTATTTTATTTTATTTATTTATGTTTTACTGACAGCTGTGACCTTATTATCTATCTTTCATTCCTCATGTAGTTCTCATTTAGAATGAAAATCCTTGAATTCTTGATTTAACCTCATTATTCTGCACAAAATGTAACTGACTCAAATATGTTTGGAGCATATTTAGGTCCTGTTTTATATTCAAAAAATCATGTCTAAGCATCAGTTTTGTTTTCTAAATAAAAACTTTAAAAACTAATTAATAACTCAAATAATTTATTTTATCAATATGCAATAGAAATGTATATTAAATTTAAGATGAATCACAATTAATTCACAGCTACTTTGGGATTAATCAGATTAAAAATATTAATCATTTGACAGCCCTTAGTTTATTCACAACACAACTGATACTAAGCTTCATGAGATCAGTGTTGTGACACCAGCGTGTCCTCAGGGTGCAGTCGCAGGTGGACGAGGTGATCGATGTGATGCAGGAGAACATCTCCAAGGTGATCGAGAGGGACGAGCGTCTGGAAGACCTGCAGGACAAGTCAGGTGAGTCACACTGGTGTGTCTCTGTGTGTCCACACTAAACATGTATGTTGTGTTACATCACAGCCTCAGATTCTGCCTCAGGGAGGGTGTTAGTGTTTGTCTTAACATTTATTTTCCTCTAAAAGCTCTGAGCCTCAGATCATCTAATGAGAGCAGAACTATTCCCATAATAAGTTGAGTTCTGGTCCAACTGTGGATATTTTGTGGATAATTTGATGTAAATATGTTTAATCTGTAATATTTTAATGCAACGAAAACAAATAAATTAAATAATTGTATGAAACACTGATTTCTGATCAGACACTGAAAATTAACCGTCTACTAATAAGTAAAAAAATCCTAGATTATACTCTGAATCTTTTCTAACTACCGTATTTATTCAAGTAAAATATGTACAATTAAATCCATAAAATCATCCATAAAGTTGGGGGTATTATACTCGGATAAATATTTTTACTTATGTATTTTAACTGAAATTTCGGCTTCATTCACAAAATGCATGAGTCCGGAAATGAGACGCGTCTTAAAAATCAGTTGAAACGAGCTCACCTCTGACACTCCTCTGTGCTTCAGAGTGAGATAATAACAGATCCAGGCAGGAGACATGATGTGAAAAAAGGTAAAAAGTATTCCTGCAGCTCAGTAATGATAACAAACTAATGACATTAGTGTGTGACCGAGCCGCTACTCGAACAACAACAAACACATATTCGTCTGTAATGGCTACCGGTGTTCTGAAAAAGTTTGTATCCCTGAAAAAAGTTTCCCCACCAGAGGGGGCGCTCACGAGTAAGAAG